GGATTTGGTGGAAATCATAACCCAGTATGGGAAAGTTTCTGGTTTTAAGGTAAATAACAATAAGACTAAAATACTTTCGAAAAATATGTCTATGAAGGAAAGGATATGTTAGCTAAATTAACAGATTTTGAAATAGTGAAAAAGGTTAAATATTACAGCTTCTAATGTTAAGTTGTACAAAAATAATTATGAGACATTATGGGTAAAGGTGCAAAAGGATTTAAATGATTGGAAAAAATTACAGTAATCTTTGTTGGGGAGAATCTCAGCGGTTAAAATGAATGTTCTTCCAAAGTTTCTTTTTTTGTTCCAAATAATATCTATTTTGAAAAAAGATGCCAACTTGGAGGAATGGCAGAAGGGTATTAATAAGTTTATTTGGGCAGGGAAAAAAACAAGAGTTAAGTTTAAGATAATACAAGATGCTTGGGAAAGAGGAGGACTTAAGGCACCTAATTTAAAATTGTATTATGATGCGGTGGCTTTAACGTTGATTAGTGATTGGCTTAATTTAATAAATAAAAATATACTTTTTCTTGAAGGATGGGATTTATTATACGATGGCATGCATATTTAATTTATAATAAAAAAGTAGATCAGGTTTTTAAATCTCATATTTTAAGAAATGCTTTATTACGTGTCTGGAAGAAGTATTATTATAGGTTAAATTATAAAATTCCAATTTGGGGAATTCCTGGATACGTGATAGAGGGGGTATCTAGGGGAGTGAATTTGGATAGGATTTCTTACAAGGAATTACTTAGTTTGGTAGGGAAGGATTGGCAATTAAAATCTTTAGCTGAGTTGAAGCAAGAAAATATTGTACACTTTTGGTTTCAGTATAATCAATTGTTAGTTAGGTGGAGTTTAGATCAAAAGGTTGGTATTACTTTAGAGGACGCGAATTTGGTAAAACAGATTAAAGATCAAACTCGAGCCCATATAAAGAGAATTTATAATGTTTTAATAGAATTGGATTCTGAAACGGAGTTAGTTAAAGACTGTATGGTAAAATAGGCACAAAATATTCAAGAGCCGATTCTATTGGACACATGAGAGACAATTTGGATTAGAAATGTAAAATTTACTCAAGCTCAAAATTTGAGAGAAAATTTTTATAAAATGTTTTATAGGTGGCATTTGGATCCCCAAAAGTTGTCTTGTATGTATCCTAACTTGCAGCCCAAATGTTGGAGATGTGGTATGCAACTTACTTTCATATTTGGTGGACTTGTAGAAATATAAAAACTTTTTGGATGAAAATTTGGTGGAATATTCAAAATATTTTTAAAAGGAAGATAAAATTTACTCCTCAACTATTTTTGTTGGGTATTATTGTAGATTTTGATGTTAAGGAAACTAATTTGATGTTGAATTTAATAACAGCAGCAAGGCTGTTGGTAAGGCAATATTGGAAGAAAGATTCCTTGCCGACTATAGAAGAATGGACCCTTAAGGTCTCAAATTAAGCAGAAATGGCAAAAATTTCGGCTTATTTGAAGGATCATTCACAAGAGAGATATATTTCGGTTTGGAAAGATGGATAGATTATATTCAGAATAAATATGGGACTAAAAAGTTCCATTTATTTTATGAATAAATTTTAGAATATTATTATTGTTATTGTTATTATTATTAATAGTTTATTATAGTGAAATTTTTATTATATTGTATTGTTTATGAATTAGGATTTTAATTTGTTTATATGATTAAGTTTATTTGCAAATTGTTTACTCTGTGTTAAAGGGGAGTTCAAGCGCATTATATTTGTTTATCTATATAGTTGGCTAATGTTAGTTAGATTATGATTATTATATTTGTTACCCTGTATTCAGCTCTGGGAAGTGGGGGAGGGGGAGGGGAGGGGGTAGGGTGGGTGGGTTTTGGAGTATATTTTGTAATTTTTGTAAAACTTTTTAATAAAAAAAAGAAGCAATGGATGGAAACTAATCAAAGAGAGAAGCAACTTAGAACTAAGGAGAAATTTCCTGACAGTTAGAACAATTAGCCAGTGGAACAACTTGTTTTAAAGAAGAGACTGGATAGCCATTTATCTGAAATGGTATAGGGTTTCTTGCCTGAATGGAGTTGGAATCCAAGATCCCTTCCAACATCATCATCATTATTATTACTATTACTATTATTATTTATTAGTGTTGATTGGCTGTAACTATTAAAATTAATGTGTAAGGGAATATCAATGTTTGTATAAGCAACTGATATTCACTTACTTTAAATATAATCCTACAACACTGAGGAATGGTATAGTAAGAAACTACATTAAATGCTAGGTGCATAATCCAAGTGTTGTGGAAAGAGCAAGAAGACATCAAGAAAATCAAAACAAAAATATTCACAGAATGTTAAAGATGAGAAAGCTATTAGTGGCTTTAGGAAAAAGCTTTCTTGATAGTCAAAGAATGAGGATGAAAGCTTTAGGTAACCAGGATATATAGAGACAAAGTGCTAATTTCCAACAATTGGTAAGTAAGGATAAGATTTAATTTAAATCAAGAATGTCACCTAATAGGGAACTGTAACAGGAAAATGAATTATTTTTAAGACTATCAGAGAAATCAGAGAGAAATTATTGCTAAGGCAGAAATATTTGAGAGTAGTCATGGAAGTGATCAGAGTAATGTAAGGTTAAAAGAAGATGGAAAGACTCTTGGGAATCTTTTATAAAATGATTATAGAAGAAAACAAATATTTGCAAAAAGAATTTGTTCATGAATCCATTCTACAGAAAAAGAGGCATGATGGGCAATTGATCAGCTATCAAATAGGAAAGAATAAGGTACAGATAAAATAAACATTTAAAGGAGAAGAGTTAGCAGAAGTGCTACATATTTATATTAACAAATATGGAAGAACAAGATGGTGTAGCATAGAGATTGAAAAATATCACTGTAGACACACCAACAAGAGAGGTTTAAGAGATTGGGTAAATTAATGATCAATTGGATTACTACTTCATCTAATCTTATAATTTTGTGAAGTTCTATTATGTTTTATGAAAGTTTCTGATAAGTATATATTTGTAATTTTAAGCTCATTATTTAGTAATTAGCAGCAATGGATTTATTGGGATTTATTTTCACAGTAAACAAGTTTTGTTTACTGTTCTGAGCTCTATGTTGGCTGATTGTGATTATTTTTATACCATAAATTCTGATTTGGCATTGCATCTGTATCAGCCCTTTCTCATGCTCTTGTTTCTGAACTCTAGCTATGACATTCTTAAGATACAAGTCAGATGATTTTCCCTTCTGTTCTCTTTCAAGGATATATGTTCTCTTATATTAATTATCAAGGCCTTTTTCAACATGTTTTTTTAATTAGAATTAAAATCCAATACCTTTGATTAGATGGTAGTTTTATGTTTCTTTTATACAATTTTGTAGTCATATTAGTGCTTGATAGATGTTCAGAGTTGTAATAATTTTAATCTATTGGTGTTTTTTTACATTTTGCTTTATATGTGTTATAATTTCTGGTTATAGTAATAAATCAATTCAATAGCCAAAACCAAGAAATTAAATAATTGATTACATTTGCATAATATGATAAATTATTGCTTGTTTTTAATATTGAATAAAGTATGGCATTTATACGAGTAGACCACCATGTTACTACTTGGCTTATGTATGACTTCAGCTATTCTTTTGTTATAGAATGAAAAATGTCTTGTGATACCATATGTTATAATCATGAATATATTTTATTAAACAACATTGATTCTAGTGCTGAGATATTATGAATTTGAATTATGTTGAATTTTAACAATGAACAAAACAAGGATGATTCAGAGGAAGAACAATAGAGCTGGAGTATCACTAATAGACCCATACAAGTAGTCCTTGACTTACAACCAAAATTTTTCTTTCTAAGCAAGACAGTTAAGTAAGTTTTACGCCATTTTATGACCTTTCTTGCCATAGTTGTTAGGTGAATCTGGTTGTTAAGTGAATCTGGCTTTCCCATTCATTGACTTTGTCCATCAGAAGATCACAACAAGTGATCACAGGACCCCCAGCACTTCAACCATCATAAATACATACCAGTTGCCAAGCATCTGAATTTTGATCAGGTAACACATGCTGAAATGATCTTAAGTGTGAAAAACCCTCTTCATCTCGCTATTACAGGCAGAGTTTGAACTTGCAGTGCAGTGCAGAAAAATGGACATTGTTTTTAGAATTTTTAGAATTGAAAATCTAATCCTAAAAGTAACTTTTTGTCAGCATGTTTTCTTTTGCATTCAAACATGGGAAAAGAAACTGGTATCCATTTAAAGGAATTGAATTTTGGAAGAATGGGAAAGCTTTATCTTGTCAATAGCACTTTTGAGAAAGCACTGCTAGAGCAGTGTTTCTCAAGATCAAGTACTTTAAGATGCATGGACTGAAATTCCTAGAAACTTAAAATGGTTGAGATTGAGAAACCTTGTTGGGGAGAAATCTGCAGAATCTGACATTTTTGTCAAAATGATAAAATGTGCATCATGCCATTACAATATGTCACTTTCATCTGTTCATGTGACATCAAGACATAGCACACAGTTGACTTTTCTGTTCCTTCCCTCCAGGTGTCTTTATTTTCCATATTAGTTTTTTAAATGATGGAGCAAATGAATGTTTTTAAATAATTGTTTAGTGCAGTAGGCAGGTTGGTTTTCCTGTTTTACAATTTATGCACTTAAATAGGAAACTTTATGACAAATTCAGTATGTTAACATGAGGAAAATCCAAAAAGTTTCCAGATCTATATTTTTAAAAGATAGGGAAATTTTAGAAAAGGCAAATTCAGCCTCTGTACTTATTTTTGCTGCACTAACATTGATAATTGTATGTGGAATTGCTATAATCCATATTTCTCAGAGATGTCTACGTTTTAGTATTAAAACCTCTTTTATATATTTCTATGCCTGCATTCACATTACATGTTAAAATCTAGAAAAACCTTTTTGATTGAACTAGATTTTTTTATTTTTTATTCAGAAAAGCTTCACTGGCCAGAGCAAGAACTTTCCAAGAAGTCCATCTTGAAGCCTGAAGAACAGAAATTCTTTTGCATGAATGAAACCAGAAGTGTTAAGTCCTGCATCCTGAAGGACAACTTCACCACAGGGACAAGCAGCTACAATGTTTTGCTGCAGAGCAAAGAGGAAAAAAAGCGTCAGAAACATTCATCAGCCCACCACAAAAGACTCCGGAAGCCCACCAAATCCACTCATGGTTCACGTAGTAATGAACGCCACAAAGTTAAGACACCACTGTTCATACCCCCAAATGGGTGGTGCTGTTTCAAAAGGCGCTCCTCCTATTTTATTCCCAGCTCACTCCGCAATGGGATTAAATTAGCACAAAATATTTCAGTAACAGGGAACAGCATAGGATTGTCAACTCCACCCAAGAACAAATGTAAAAGACATTTTACCTTTAGCCTAGGAAAGCCCAAACAGTTGCAGACATCTAAAAGCTGCTTAAAAGATGGAGATGCCACTGGTCGAAAGTTTTGTATCCTCACTGCAATCAAGCCTTCCAATGTAGAAAGGGAGAAGATCAAATTTTTCAAATCAGATTTTACCTCTAACCCACAGTTTGAATATGCAAGTTCTGCCCTGCCCAGTGTACTTGAAAAGTACAGCCAAGCATCCAGCTTATTTCTTAAACAGGTAAAGATACTTTTGCTATACCTATTTCTCATGCATCATTCTTTTTGATTCAGTTTTTCTACTTTCCCCATACCTCTTATTTTTTCTTTAGATCTATTAGATTAGAAAGGGGTTAGTCTGATTAGAAAAGAGTTTTTGAAAAGCAGGATGCCAGAACATAGAGCACTCGTACAATTTTCCATTTTAAGAAGTGAAAGTTGAAGCAGAACCTCTGTTGACAATGGCCTCTGTAACAAGCAGTGGTGACCTCAAAGCAATACAATGATCATCATCAAAGCAATAACACATGGAGCATCATGCAAATGGATGATTACATAATTTATGATAGGATGTTTAACCTTGCAGATATCCATAGCTTTTGCTTAGGCTTCCATGGGAGAAGGGAAGATTTCTCACACTCAAGGACAGGAGTGAGTTGCAATCAGCAGTGCAATGCACACGTGTGTTATACAGTCATACCATCAAGACCACCATCTTGACCTTTTGCATATTAGGACAGAGTTTATCCATTTTTAATCCATTGTAAAATGAAAAAAAACCCTACTTCCTACTTTTTGTGTTTTTACAAGCAGGGCTAATCCACCATCTCTTGAGGATGATACAGGTCTAGATTTAATGCACTGAATAGATTACACAGCCTTTTTTCACCCCTTAGATTTTGAAAAATAATAGTTCAAATCTAGGAAAGGCAAACTAAGGAGCTTAGTAGTGTGTTAAACGGGAAAAGTTCAGCCCCTCCTGCACATGTACCATTTTTATAATCAAGCCTTCTAACTCTAGATATATGAGTTCGTGGGATACATTGGGATAGGACAGGTTTAAATATTTTTTCTTGCTTTTGAGGATGTTTCATTACCCAAACTAGGTAACATCATCAGTGCTTGTTACAATTTAATTCATTAGAAACCAAAAGATATTAGATTGCTGATACTGATCTTTTGTTTTTTATCTCATGGTATCTTCTTGTCCTTTGTTCCCTCTGAAAAAAATCAAAGCACAGTGAATAATTAGATCAGAAGATAAAATATTAAAGGGAACAGTTTGCTTAAATGAAATGATTGTTCAACAGAAATCATATATATATGTGGAATAAGTAATGAGCATTATAAATAGATATCAGTATTCTAGAAGTTTGCTTTGGAAACTGGAGCATATCATTCTGAATTATTTATGCCACTTGTTACAAAATACAATGGCACTTCCTTCATAGCAAGAAATATATTTCCCTTTTAGCATCAAACATTTCATGGGCTTACATGCCAACATTTGTAGACGTGAGAGGAACTCCTCATAGTCATGGGATATAACGTGTATTTGGAACTTTTGATATACAGTATGTCATCTATCATGCCACAACAGCAGCTGCATTCCCTTTAGTAAGGGAGGGCTATTGTTCATGTCTCTTTACAATAGAGTTGCCCACTTTTTTTGAAATAAATGGGACAATCATATATGCAGGGATACATATAAATAGATTTGCCTTACTATTTATAGGTGGTGCAAGGAGAACGGAGAATCATAGAAATTTTTGAAAAGATAACTCCGGTGCCTTGCTTTCCATGTCACTATTGTAACTACCCAAGGAATAGTGCTTCTGATTACCACTACAATGGCTAGAGAGACATTGCAAAGAAAGGATAATATTAAGGGTCAATAAGAATCATGAAACTACTTTTTGGCTCCTTAAACTGGACTGAGTATCAATGTTTCTCCAACACTAGCCCTAAATTGGAAATACAAGAAAAAAATTCATATATTTAATCTTGATGTGGAACTTAAAAGCATTGGTCCTGTTCATGTTCATCATAGAAGAAATCTCTACATAGACAGCCTGCTTTTGTGATACACGTAATTCCCAAGAGCAGACACAGTAATCCATTAGAACATTTAGTATATTTAACATTTATGTCTGCTATATTTTTGTCACAGGCTATCAGAATTATGGAACTCACTTTGCAAAAATACGGAAGTTATGAAAATTTTGAACAGTCCACTGGAGGAAGCCTGCTGCCTAGGAGTCGCATCTGGAATCATGTCCGAAAATACATGGCAAAAGAAGGCTGCCTGGGCGAGGTTGATTTGTTTGCAGCATTTCTTTGAAATAGAGAGTTACAGTTTATCCAGCATTCCTAATTCTAGTTTTATGGTAGCCATCATTCCTACAGGTGACATACATACATAATTAATGGTAACCAATTGTCTAAAGAGTGATAGCCATATGATGCAAGAACTACCAGTTATTTTGTAGAATAAGCTATTAATTCTTGTATGAATGCATCCATTGTTGTTTAAGTCATATTTTAGTTTAGACGCAGAAATAGATAAAAGAAATGGAGGACAAAATGCTATGAATGCTGCCTTGAGTTTTTGAAAGACATATAACAGTAGCACTTAGACTGATATATTTGTTATGGTTCCGACTAATGAAACACTTCAGAGAACTTCCAGGCATTGTTTACCCTAAAAGCCTTTATTAACAGTGTAACAGATTGACAGCACTTCATGGATGGATGCCAGAATCTGAATTTCTCTTGCTTGCATCTAATTTTTCTTGCTAAACCCTCCCTTATTCTGCAGTCATAAGTCACATCTTCCAATTAGCCGGGAGGGCAAAGATTCACTTCTCTTCCTTTTCCCAGGCTTTTCTTATAAATCTCCTCCCTTTCTCTGTCATCTGAATTAACTCTAAAAATACCAGACAGTTCTGTATATTTTGTCAAAGAAATAATATCCTATATTAACAGCGTTGACAATACTGACCCATAGTGCTTTACAGTACTCTCTGGGCAGTTTCTCATATAGAAGCATTATTTCTGGGTATTCATTTTACTGGTCTCAGAAGGAAGGGAGGATGAGTCAACCCTGAGCCCCATCAGAATCGAACTCTAGGCTTTGGGCAGATTTTGCCTGCAATACTGCATTTAACCACAGGGCAAGCATATAACTCTACAAAACAAAAAGAAAATTGAACTGTTATCTACCACTGAAAGTGAAAGCAACAAAATAACGTTTTATAGAAAAGGAGTACGTTGTTGAATGAAAAATATGAGTACCAATATAGTTTTATCTTCTATGGCTTGTTTTTCTTCCTCAGATTGTGGTTCACCTTTCTGAAGACTTGCTTTCTCGGGCCTCAATGACTGTGGTGAATGGCCGTCCAACTCTTACCATCAATATTTCCACTGCAAGGGAACATTGGTTAGAAGGGATGCTCAGGCATGAAATAGGTATGTAATAATTATTCTGGTTGAGTTTTCCCCCAACCCAAAGTACTGCAACTTTGAGAAAATGGCTAAGGGGAATAGCAGCTTAGTCTAGTGGTTAAGATAACAGGTTAGAAACTGAGAGACTGAGTTCTAGTCCCACCTTAGGCATAAAAGCAGGTTTGGCCCATCACGCTCTTTCAACCCAGCATACCTCACGGGCTATTGTGGGGAAAATAGGAAGAGAAAGTGTATGCTTATCACCTTGAATTATTTATACAAATAATGACAACAGAATAACAATAAATAAAATTAGCAGGCAAAGGGAAAATTAGGGACATATCCTCTATCTGTTCATATGCAAACACAAATCCTGTATGCTACTTCATATATACGATATTTGGATTGCTTCTGCAAATATGGGCTGGCAACAGGCTTTTGCAAAAATATTGGAATACTTTTTTAAAATGTTTGTAACCCATTAAATGTAACAAACACTATTTGTGCTAAAATAAATTGGAATTTCAGGGGCAAACTGCATGATGCATTTGATTCAGAGTCAAATAGTTTCTCATTATTCTGAGCAGTCCGTTTAGTGCAGTGGTTCTCAACCTGTGGGTCGGGACCCCATTTGGGGTCGAACGACCATTTCATGGGGGTCGCCAAACAACGCAGTCTGCCATTTTTCCCCCCTTTTCCTTAGCTGTGCTACTCCCTTTTATTCTATTGGCTTTTGAAAGCCAATAGAATAGACGCTCTTGAATAGAGTCTAATTCTATTGGCTTTCAAAAGCCAATAGGAATTGTCCAGGCTGTCTCTGCCCTGCAGAGCCCGCCAAAAGTCCCATTCTGCAAACGGTGCTGCACCAGTTGAGTAGTCTTCGACTTACGACCGGTTGGGGGTCGCGGCATTAAAAAGGTTGAGAACCACTGGTTTAGTGGCTGGTGGCCATTGAAGAATTCTGTCTCTCTGGCAGAAAAAAAAGCAGCTTTATGGTTGCAATAGTCCATTGTTGATGGAGCAGGAAGAAAATAAAAATCCACGTAAAAAGGATTCAGAAAAATTATTTTGGACCTCATGTGAGTGCAGCACCTTTCCGTTCATCACTGAAATAGCTTGAGTTTTTTTCAGGTTTCTGCCTCCCCCTTAAAAAAGTCAGCTAGGATAGAGTTCAAAAGCACTGCAAGTTATTCCATGCAACCGATACACAAGAATGTGCTCTGTTAACTGTCAAAGCAAATTGGCAACAGATAAGAGTCAATGGATTTCAAGGGGACAGCTTAGGTCTCTTTCAGGAGTGTAGGGCCTTCAGATAGATGATGTAATTGATCCCACCTTCAGGCTCAGCCTGGTCATCTCCTATAAGCACTGCCTTAAGAGTTGCCTAAACTTTAATGGGAGGGTTCCTTAAGTAACAGCAGTAGAAAAAAAAATTCCAGGGTCACATGGACATGTGCACAGCATGTATATAGCAGTTTTCAGCTTCTTGACATGTGCATAGAGAGCTTTTTAATCCACCAATGAAGCATAGCACGGGTAGTCCTCAATTTACAATGGCAATTGATCATTCTGCTTAGTGATGACAGTTCTGGCAGTCCTGGTTGCTTTGTTAAATGAATCATTAAAGGTCACTATGTGGGGATGTCATGTGGTCACCTGCCAGCTTTCCCATTGACTTTTCTTGTCAGAAGTTGGCAAAGAAGATGGCAAATGAGCACCACATTATCACAAGATGCTATGACATCATAATTGTGAGGTGGGCTCTGAACATCTATATTTTGATCATGTGACCCTGGGGATATTGCGAGGATCAATTGTATGTACCATCTGTTCAGCACTATTGCAAGGTTGAATAGTCGCTGAATGATTGGTTATTAACCTGTAATATTTTTAATGAGTACATATAAAAATAAAGATATTTTTTAAAAAAATGTTATGTCTATTTGCTTTGTTCCATAAAATCATATTTTTGTTATCTTTTTAATCTATTAAGTCAGTTATTATTTAGCGTATGATGAGAACATGACAGAAGTTAACATATATGCAGAGTCCACATAATTACAGATGGTCTTTGACTTATGACCACAATTGAGCCCAAACAATCTGTTGCTAATTGAATTTGCTCCATTTTGTGATTTTTCTTGCCACAGTTGTTAAGTGAATCACTGCAGCTTTTAAGTTAGGAACATGGCTGTTAAGTGAATCTGGCTTCCCCATTGACCTTGCTGGACAGAAGGTCATAAAGGGTGATTACATGACCCCAGGACACTGCAACTGTCATAAATATAAGTCAATTGCCAAGCATCCAAATTTTGATCATGTGACCATGGGGATGCTGCAATAGTTGTACATTATAAGTTATAAGTCACTTTTTTCAATGCCATTGTAATGGTCAGTAAATGAACTGTTGTAAATCGAGGACTACCTGTATATATATAAAACTTCTATGGGGGTGTGGCAGTGGCCTCATAACTGGATGTCCAATTTAGCTGTACAGGCCTCTGGCATTGCTTCATGCAGATCTAAGGAACCGCAGAATTCACTCCATAGGCAACCTTGCATAGGCAACTATGCACAATAGTTTGCATATGAGCACCACAATTGCAACACTCTTTCCATCTCCACTGATACAGGGCAAAGGCACTTCTTCCAGTATCATGCCTAATTCTGTCCAATTTCGACTAGACAAAGCAAGGCAGGCCAGATCCTGCTGGTTTGGTAGAAGGATCATTGTCATTAAGTCAATATTAGGGTACCTTTGACCATCCAGTTGTTTATTGTAATCAAAACCTGAAGTAAAAACCTTAAAGGATTTCCTTTTTGCTTAGGGAAGAGACAAGCTCCCCTTTCAAAAAGGACATTGATAGCCTCCTTTCAAAGAAGGGCTATGCTAGAAAGTAGTAAGTTGTGGTCAAAAAAATAGAGAGAAAGGTACAGAGTATGAACCAGATTTTACCCATTACAGTTTTGAGTTTGGACTGATTCAATTTCTGCCTTGATTTTCAGTAATCATTTTGATATTGCATATATATATACATATATATATATGGTGCATTCTTACAGGAACTCATTATCTTAGGGGCATTAACAACAATAGCCAATTATGGAACAACTGGAGCGGGCGCCGGAAGCACGGGTTAAAACCCATCAACCCCACTGAGGAAGGCCTGGCTAGTATTCACAGTGTTCTCTTTCGAAAAGATCCTTTCCTGTGGCGGGCCGCCCTCCTGTATTATACTGTCTACCAAGCCAGCCAAATGTCTTTCAGAGACCTCTTTCAGGACATTGGAAGGTTTGTCACTGATCCCAATACTAGGTGGGATTATTGCGTTCGAGCCAAGAGGGGTTGGATTGATACTTCACAACCAGGTAAGCTTTCTTTTATCTACCACTTGCAGATTTTGTTTGAAATTGGGAATTATGGGGGATGTCAGCAAGAGAGAAGTGCACCTCTTAGTCCTGAAAACATCCTTTACCAGTAAAAGGCATCTTTCTGGGGAACAAGGCAGTACAATAAGTAGTTGCAGTTATTAAGAATAAAGTTTAGTAATAACTATGTGAAGAAAATTCTACGTAGATTTTTGATCTTCACAATCATAAATGACTTTCTTCAACTTCATGATTATAGTGTTATCCCAGGGAATTCTCCTCTCATTGTTAAATCTTGTTTATGATTAAATGCATGGATTTATAAGTATTATCATCCTGATTGTAAATCTCTATGGAAGTGAATAATCACAAGATATCCTATTGCAAACTGTTACTACTTGCCGTAATAGTTTTTTGTCTTACAGAAGCAGATTTTAGGAATTAAACTTTAATCTTAGTTTCTTTTGTATGACGTACTTGGGTTATAACTAAATCTCTTAGATAGGATATGGATTGAAGTATTAATCTTTTAATATGTATGTGGATTCTATATATTGTTTAGTCACTAAGTTCAATGGGACTGAATGTTGAGCATGTTTGAGATTGCAGTCTTCTAGCTCAATTCTTTGTATTAAAGTTATAAATCCAACTACTTCAAAGAAATTTATTTCCAAGTAAAAAAGTATGACATTTTCATTTTATTTTTATTTTAAAAATTAGCCATTCAAATTATCATTTAATGCTGCCGTAGTAAATATTTTATATTTTTAAAAGTTTTAAAAGTTAAAGCCTCCACCATGATTTCTGATTCTTTTAGGGTGCTTTAGTAAAGATCAGGTCTACTTGGATGGCATCCTACGACTTCTGAGATATCGACGTTCTATTGATTTCTACTTATTGACAGCTCTAGGAAAGGTGAGTAAATGGCTGGATAAGAAAATATCAATCTAAATACGGTTTGTCTGTTTCTAGTACAAATATACTATTTAAGACTAAAAGCTGACATGTAAACAGCAGCAACAAGTATCAAATAGTCAGAAGATTAGTGAACATGTTGAAAATATGATAGATATTTTATTTCATGAATTGGGAGATGCTGAATTTGTTCAAGGCTCATCTGAAGAATTTTAATGACTTGTTTTGTCATGCAAGTTAAAAGGTCTGTAGTCTTAATAATCTTGTAAATAAATGGCAAATATTCCATTTATTAATTCCATATTCTCCCACTCCTCTTGCTTTTATTTATTTGTTCATTCATTCATTTATTCATTCATTGTTAAATTCATTTGTTACCCATCTCATTAAGGGGTGTTCTAAGCAGTTGACAACAATAAAAAGAGTGTAAAAAAATAAACAGAAATGAAATGTAAACAAAACAGAAATAAAATAATAGAATATTAAAATAAACAATAAAATGTAAACAGTAGAAATATATCAATACGATAACAAAAATATGTGTGGAGAGAGCAAGGAGGGGGAGGGGGAGTCTGCCATCAATCAGCAGCCACCTCCAGCAAGGAACTCCCTTATTTGGTCCCCGGGCCAATAGGAGAACCAGGTTGTCAGGCTATTGTGGAAGAATAGAAAGGTGGGGACAAATTTTATTAGAGGCTCAGATGTTTCAAAGGATGGGCAACTGCAGCAAAAAAGGCTCTTTCTTCTGGATCCAGATAGTGGAGTTCTTTGATCGATGGGATCCATAGTAAGCCCTCTCTGCTGGCATGAATAGTATGGGCTTGTCCCAGTCGGACAACACATCAGGTAACTTGGACCTATATGATTAAGAGCTTTGAAGGTCATAACCAATACCCTGAACTGCACTTGAAAGCAGACCGGTAGCTGTTGAACTTCACATAGCACAGGTGTAATATAGACTATTCTAAGGGCAGCAAAGACTACTTTTGCTGCTGCACTTTGTATCATTTGAAGCTTCTGAATCGATTTCAAGGGTAGCCCCACATAGAGCGCATAGCAGTAATCCAGATGAGAGATGACTGTGACTTGAGTAACTGAGTGAAAGGACTCATGATCCAGGAAAAGTCATAGCTGGTTGCATAAACCAGAGCTTTGCAAAAGCTCGACTTATTTCATCCAGAACTAATAATGACAAAAACCTGGATCCTGAGTCTCCATGCATCCAAAGCTACTCAGTCTTGCCAGGTTTTAGTCAAGTCTGTTGGTTCCCCATCCAGGTCCCTACAGCCTCCAGGAATCATGAGAGAGCAGAGACAGTATCCCTTGGGTCACCATGTGTAGAAATGTAGAGCTGAGTATCATCAGCATATTGAGATATCTCAACCCATGATGATGGACGATCTCATCCAGTGGCTTCATGTAGATGTAAACAAGAATGGAGAAGAGTATTGAACTCTGCAGGACACCACAATTGAGCAGTCAGGAGCTGGATCTTTCATTCCCTATTAACACTGATTGAGACCTATCTTGGAGGAAGGAGCTGAACCAGCACAAAACTGTGCCACCCAGCCTCAATTTGTGTAATCAACCTACAGGATACCATGGTCACTGAGAGGTTAAGGAGAGCAAGAATGGTTGTACTACCCCCATCTGGCTCCTGCCTGAGATTGTCTGTGAGTGTGACGAAGGCTATCTCTGTCTCATAGCTGAATCTGAATTCTGAGTAAAAAGAGTCCAGGAAATCTTTTCATCCAGGATCCCCTAGAACTGCCAAGCTCCTTTTCCACCACCTTTTCTAAAGGGAAGATGGGAGACAGCATGAAAGTTGTCCAGGCAGGTGGGGTCAAGTGATGATGGTTTCTAAGGAGTGGATAAACCAGGGCCTCTTTAAAAGATCCTGTATCACTACAAGAACCCACTGGATGATCACTCTTCTGGAGACTTTCAACCTCCAAGAGGGGCAAGAATCTAATTGACAAATGGGTACAATGACAGCAAGAAGATCCTGTCCACTTTCTTAGTTCCAACGGGTCAAACTGTTCCCAAATTACTGGGCAATATGTCTCCCTAGGTTTCTTATAAGGAATAGCACCACAAAAAGGTTCTAACTGGGAGTATATCTAAGTGATTTTATCCAACAGGTGTTCAACAAATTGTTCTGAACATGATTGCCCTGAAGATGATTGCCCGAGCACCCCTGCCTAGGAGGAACTGAGTAATCTGGAACAAGGTTGATGAGCAACACTCTGCAGATTCAATAAGAGTGGAGAAATAGTTTTGTTTCTCTCTTTTATTGCTACAAGATAATAATAGCAGCTCTATGATATATCCAGTCAGTTATCCTTTGCTTTCCTCCAGTGTCGCTCTAGAAAGTTCTTAACCTTTTCAGAAACCCCAGTCCCTCCATGAACCATGGGCTGTGATGGGTGCAAAGGGTCATGAGAGGTCACATAGGCACAATCCTGTCCAAAGTCTCAGCAGCCTTTTGGTCCAGACTGTTACTAAGGATTTGGCGGGGCCATGAAGCAAATCTTTAAGGGATATCCCCCAGTTCCTTCTAGCACACCTTTGGTCTCCGGGGGCGGACCACTCAGTCTCCCTGCAGAGCGAAGTGGGGTAAGAAGTCTCAGGGATATCTGACTGTGATGACAGAATAGTGTTATGTCACATGTTGACATTGTTGCAATAAGAATGTTAGATATTCACTGTTCTGATTCCATGAACTAAACCCAATGAAATCCTGAGCCACTTCTCAAGTCAAACACCAAGAAAGGCACATTGAAGTCACCCAGAATTATAAGTTTGTGGAACTCCACTGACAAGACTGAGACAACTTCTAGGAGTTTAGACAGGGACATTGCTATGCACCCGGGAGATCAGTACGAGAGCAACAATCCCAGCTGATTCCATGAGCCCAATCTCAGAAACATGGTCTCACAGCCAGAGACTAGAGCAACCAGGTTCTTTTATACAACTCCCAGGCTTTTTAATAAAGCTTTTACAGATAATATTTACAGGTAGTCCTCAGCTTACAACCATTCATTTAGTGACCTTTCAAAGTTACAATGGCACTGAAAAAATGACTTATGACCATTTTTCACACTTACGACCATTATGGCATCCCCTGAGGTCAGTTGATCAAAATTCAGTTACTGGGCAACTGGCATGTATTTATGATAGTTGCAGTGTTTCAGGATCATGTGATCACCTTGTGACAGGCAAATTGATGGGGAAGCCACCCTGTTACTAACAACTGCAGTGATTCACCAAACAATTGTGCCAAGAAAGGTCATAAAACTGAGCAAAGCTCAATTAACAACTGTCTTGCTTAGCAATGAAAATTTTAGACTCAGTTGTGGCTGTAAGTCGAGGACTACCTTTATTTTTACTGTTTTTCTGAAAAGTGACTTCATGGTTACTTTTTAGTGATGTTTATATTAATGCTGACAGTTGATCTGAATCTTTTCCAGCTGTTTGTGATATCCCTGAGTTAATTTATGATTGTAGTGCTTAAAATAGTTGAAAATATAAAATTACTTTACATGAAACCATCCCTCTTATTTCAGGAGAAACAGAATTGGATACCTTCTATTTCTCCTTCCTTAGATTTAGAACTGTTTGAGGATCTAGAAGAGACAACTTGTAAAAGCTACTAAAAGAGAAGAAATATCCTCTTCCTCCAACCTCTAAGTCCAGAAGAGGTCTGCTGATCCAAGGACTTTGATTGTTGGAAGAGGAAGTTGTCTTTGTAAGTGCCTGATTCTGGAGTCCCAATTTTACTTGCTCCAGAAATAGCTGTGACATAGATAAATTTGTTTTCAAAATACTGGTATAGTAATGTTTTGTAACCTCCACAAATGGGTTGTCTACTGAAAAAATGATAGATGGTTTTCCCCCTAAAAAATAGGACAGTATTTCATTCTTTTGTGACGTTAAATGGGATTAAAATACAATCTCCTTTGAGTTGAGCTTCTTTCCCATTGACTTTCTGGACATACATGTATACATATGCACGCTTTTTTGACAGAATTATACAAGTAGCCTCAGTTTTAAGTACTAATAAGATTCAGTACCACTTAGCTTCAAAGACCAGACCTGGTCAACCAGGTGCTGCCATCTGCTGGTTTTTCCGTCATTCCATTTTATTTTTGTTAAAGGGATTAGCTTCCAATTTTGGTTTCATGCTAAAAGTACCAGGTGGGGTACAGCTAAAGATGCTTTGAAATGAAGTAAGCCTGAAATTATTTTTTCCCTGATGCCTAGGTTTCATATGAGGATTTGGATCGTCTGAAGGATTTAGGAATGACTGAAAACATGAGGGTGCCACATTTTTTGCAAGACTATTCTCGGTACATGGAACATCTAGAAAAGATCATGGAAGTCAATGAGCTATCTGACACTGAACTCCAAGCTCTTGTACCCTAAACCAGCCTATCTCTGTTTCACATGAGTCACTCTTATGTTTCAGCTCTGATATAACTCATAGAGTGGATTAACTGAACTTATTTTTGATCCCTGGCAAAAGTCATATTTTGGGACCTACTTCTGTTTTTTAAGATTGAAAAACTCTACAAATCTGAAACAAAATTGTCTTTCAAAGAAAGAAAGACAAATCCAGTCTGGCCATTTTAAGTATGAAGCTGTATGTAAACCAAACAGATTAAATTGTAGCTGAAACACAGGCATATCTTTTAAGAAATTATTGTATAGATTTGTCAATAGAGCTTTTCCAGATTTTACTGGCTTTTGAATTGTCTCTCTAGAGTATAGTATTTTGGGGCTTAGCTTCTTTCAATTTATTTAGACAATTGTCTTCTTCTATATCAAAAGGATCAATGCCTTACTGTGGGGTTTGCTCTCACTACACTCACAATCTGTGCTTTAACCATTAGAATTGCAAGGATACCACTGAATGCTTGAAAAACACTAGAAACATAGCTATATCTCATGACTATGGATGTAAGCTCTAGTCTTGCGGATTTTGCATTTACAGTGTATAATCCATTTGATGTCAGTTTGTTTCATTGTAATTCATTAATGGAAATTATGTGAAAGGGTAGGGAAGAAAATGATCTCCTTTCATATTTATTAGTTTACTAAGAACATTCCACTGACTTGTCTTTATGTTTTCATATTTCATGAAATTTAATTTAAGGAAATGACATTATTTTCCCCTTTATTTTTGATCATGTATAAATAAATTTAGAAGAGGAAATTGGAAAGAAATAAAACTTGGAATTCTATTTTTTTTATCCTCTCTTCAGACCCATACTGAAATATATTTATATGTAAAAAATTCTTTCTGTTTGTTACAGATATAGTTATAAAAATAGTTAGTGTAATGCTTGTGAGATGTTTTGTTGGATTAATATACAGTGCAAATGGGTTTGTATACCTAAACAAAAATCTCTAATTTGTTTATGCATGACTGCAAAAGCACAGAAGCCTATTTGAAAAGTTTAGGCTGGCCACTAGTTTTTGTTTTTCTCTTTTTAAGACATTGATACTTTTGTTTTTGGCACATATACATTTAGCACGAAGTATGGGATATAGAGCTTTATATCCCTTTTAGAATAGTTTTACAAATCCTTCCTCATATCTTGGTATTATTTAATTCAATGACAACCTATTGATGCAAAATTACATATTTTGAATAAAAACCTTATATACAAGAAGATTGGAAAAATAATTCATTATAATAGAATTGTGAAAATATTCTTCAATATAATGACAATCTAAGACAGAAGGTAAAAGATCAAGAATATGCATTGAATTTGATGCAAATTAATGTATCCTGTTATTAGAGTCTTATTTATGTCGGATCCATCAACATTGATTTCTGAACTGTGTTGATTTTAGGGATCTCTGGTTTAGAACAAAATTCAATTAAATTAATAGTTCATCATAATAATTTATTATCCCAGTTAAACAACAGCTTATCTTGAATAAAGTCTAAGTGTTCATTATATGTATTGCTTCAGTATTCATTGTTTTGGTAGCATAGACTGTGCCTTATATTATTTCAGAACAGAACTATTGTAACTGCATGCTATCATTCAGATTGTTGTAATACCGCCTCTTAATACAGTTAAGGATCATTGTGTTCCTGCATTTATTTCTTACCTGTCCTAAATCTATCCCATTAAATCCATTGCAACTGTAGTGCATAAAAATAGGTCTAGGCTAGGGGAAAACATAATCCAGGATATTAGGGAGAATAAAGTAACAAATCTTTACAAAGAATGAAAATCTTTACAAAGAATGATGACTGAGCACACGAATGAAAGGAACCATTCTTGGTTGAATTGACCAACAAATGTTGTCATGAAACAGGAGAAAGACAAAACTGGCATGATGTTCTATTTATCTCTTATCTAAAACCTAAATCCAATCTTAGAATGTAGCTGTAGAATTTCACAATAACTTTCACAGAATTTGGTGTTTTAACAAAAATAACTTACTTTTATCTTTATTCCCTTTTCTCAAGCAAAAGTATTTAGCAGCAATAATATTTTTATTGGCCAGCATGATCATTCAAAATCTGTAACTAGGTTTTACATACTGAAAGCCGTATTTTCTTATATTCTTGAAGAGTAGATTCAAATATGCAGATTATAGATTTCACATACTGAATGTTCTAATTTTACATGCTATGTTACCATGTTCAAATTACTGTTAGCAAGGCATTTGTCATTCTGCCTGCCAAATGTCATTTTCACAGGAATATGGAATAATTGTGATATATGGATAATATTTGAACATAAACATCCATAAAGAATGGTTTAAAAAAATCTGGTGCAATTTATCTGTTGTTCTATCTTAGAATATATCGGTAATTTGATAGTCAACTCATTTCTCCATCAGAAGGACCACCCTATCAATTCATTTTAATAATGTGTTTTTTTCTCTTTTTATAAAACATTTTGAATTTGTAATGGTGGTTTTGTAAAGTTTTTCTGGATTTTTAAAATTGTGACAAACCTGTTCTTAAGCAGTTGTAATGAAATAGTAAAAGAAGTAATAAAATAAAGTATGTCTCTCCCCAGACAATCTCGTTATGGTTATATATTATCATCTGAAATAAGGTATTGCTAGATAAATGTATTTGAACTAACAAGTGCAATTCTTTTATCAATTTATCACAATTTAAATAGTACCCTTATATTATCGAATGAGTGACTATGAAACATTCTATATGTTTGGCTTTAAGCATGCTTTAAGAAGTTATACCAAGTCAACTAACTATTTGGCTGCAATACAAAGCAACTTTCCTAATCTGTTTTCCTCAGTTATTTTAGATTACAATACATACATACTCATGTACAAGTTGTACAAATTCCAGATTTAAAAAAAAAATAGATTCAAAATAGTAGTTTTACTTGTATAGAACCTGGAGATACATCCAAAAAGGCAAAGGTTAAACCAACAGAATTCAGAGTACAAATCCAATTATGCCCTCCTGAACCCAAGTTCAATAAAAGGAATAGCAAGAAATCGGATTGAAATATTCTCCAATATTATCCTTGCTAGATAATGCATTTGATAAAAGTGGAGTAAACATGAAACACAAACACAAAAGATTGTTTATCATTTCCCTCCAATTTCCCTTTAGTTGTTAAGGAAAATTTTTTTTCCCTGGCTAAAGCTTCACAATCTAATAAGCAACAAATTATTTTTCTTTATAAGGTATAATAAGTTAAGAACAGAAATTACATTGGGTCATTTCAACCTAACTGATTTCAGCATCCTTTGTTATTGTCACATAATTTTTTCCATACATACTACCTGAGAATTGAACATCAAATGACATTGTGAAGAATGTGCAGAACTCTTAGAAAAGGTTTGTGCTTGTTTCTAGAATGTTTATTTGGAAAAAACTATTGCTTTATGAGGTAATTTGCAATGTGGTTTACAGGCAAATGAAGGTAATGCTGTATTCCAGCATTTGTGTTTTAGAAGATTCAATTCCCTGTTTGTTCATGAGCAGGAATTCTGAGAATTATATTCCTACTGTATCTGAAAGTTGGAAGAAACCATTGTATTATATATAATTGATTCCTCTTCATGTACCACCTTTTGATACCTTATAAGAACTGTTTCTGCATATACTTTCAAACTATGATACTATTTAAATGAATGAAATATAAATAAGGCATGCCCTTATGGACAACTGGCTAAAGGCTATTTAGATTTCATTTGATAAGTTCTAGGAATAAATAGGTTCTAATATTCATGCTAGTTGGGACTTAGGGAGTTTTAATTATTAATTATTTATTTATATTTTTAATTAAGCAATCTAGAAGGCACCAGATAAAGCTAATATAATCTTAATTGTAGAGTGATCAGCTTTTCAATGAATTTTAGTGGGCTTTTTTTTTTTACTTTAAATGATGTAGTTCATGACTTATCTCTAGGTCAAAACCACTGGCTACAGTAAAGTACAAGTTGGGTATTATATGCCAATAGCACTAAATATTTTTTTTCTATTGCTGAAGTATCTCAAGTAGATAACAGAATGTATTAAAAAATGGTTGGCCATGTCTGCTCTTTCATGAGCTATTAGGTTCAATTATAGTATTTTATTAGAAGTAGAAGAAAGAAGATTGTGAACAAACACTATTAAAAAGTGAATTTTATTTGCAGTTATCCAGGTATATCCAGCCACAGAAGCCTCCATATCTCTGTAAGTCACAATCCACACAGTGGCAGTGGGATATTCTAAAACACCCACAAAAGGGTCAGAAGTGGGAATAGGAAAGAGAGATGTTAAAAGCAGAAGCTTATTCATTTTTAAATGAAAACAAAATACACAGCAGTTCTTGTTCAATGTCAGGCCTTGAGCGAAGCTATCTTCTAACCATCTTTTGGGGAAAGAAAAAAGTAGCTTTCATCTTTTTCATCACCGCTCACGTTTAGAATCCACATCAGTGCATTCCACTATCACTCCACCTCCATTTCGAGTTAGATCCTTTCTATTCCAGTCCCTCTCGAGGTAAAATTCGGCTAAAACTGGACAGTGACTTGATGCTACTCCACCCCATGACCAGTTATCAGGGATCCAGGGGTTTGTAAGACCTTCTCTTACAACTGCCCAATGTCCTGTGGAAACAAAAGGGTGCAGGAGAAAAAAATGAATGTCAGTATTTGGGAAGACAAAAGAAATATTGAAAATGACACAAAAGAAAGCTTCTTACTTTTAAATATTAATATGTGGGTTTTTATTAAAGACAGTACATCAAACATTATAGCATTAAGGAACTAAGTGAGTACAAACCTATTTAGTGTTTAGGAACATGAAGGTTAAGTATCAAGGCTGACAATTTAAATTTTCCTTTGGAAGAAAATTATAGCACAAAACACAGAAAATGAAATTAAACAAACATAGGAAGTTATGACATAAAAGAATAATAATTATTCTTCTGAATAATTACTATATTTTTAAGTTATTAAAATTAACTTTACAGAGAAAAAATACTAAAGAAACTGGACGTGTAACATAGTAATGGAAATCTAAAGACTCAAGGTTATCATCTATGTATCTTCGTATGTTTCCTAGTATTCTAAGATAGGATCAAACTGTTGTGTAAAACTTTTAAAGAAGTCGAATGTAAATAATATAAATATTCAAAGTTCAGCTTCTAAATTAAGGGAATAGGTGATCCATCCACTTGCAGCATAGTCTCATCTACTATAGCCCTTGATTCTCCCATAAATGTTACATACAGACCTTGGTCAATAAAATATTGGCCATTCTAATATAAAATATCCACATACAGCAACCTTTAACAAATTGGTAGGTTTTAAATATGTTAGAAACAACTCCCAACCTCCCCAGGAAGCAAAATACCTGGCTATATTATGAATATGAATAGAGAGTGCCAAGATAAGAGTTTTCATAAAGCTGGCATGACACTGAAAGGCACACTTCAAAATAACACTTGCTTCATTTGAAGTAGTCGCTGAACCAACAATGAGATATACAATAATTGAAACTCAGTGTTCTCAATATTCATCTCCTCCCAAAGTAGAATCTTACCAGTGAAAATTTTTTTCAAGCCACGACTGATCCAGATATTGTCCAGAGATTTGGAACCTTGAGGATTCTTTGTGCTGATGTTTGTGAATGTACTTGCAGGAACCAGATGGTGGAACTTTTCCTTTCGTAACAAATCATGGTCACTATTATCAGGGGGCTGACTAAAGTCACCCAAAATAATCACATCTTTTTCACCTAAGATTGGGAACAGTACAGTCATAAAAGGTTAGTGGAAGAATGTCAGAACTGATATCCAGATGCTATATCTTCCTTCAGTTCAACCTGAATGTCCCAACTTCTCAAAACTGCTGCCCACTAAGGAGATTGTTTCTGTGAGAATGTTTATGCTATAATACCACAGTCTCTTCCATCAAGCCTATTCTCAAATCTTGGTTCTAATCCTATCCAAAACCCTTTGTCATTTAAAATTGTTGGTATTACAACCTATCCTCATTTTATTTGCTTATAAAATGGAATATGGTACTAGTATACAATAGTGCTAAACAAATAATTAGGCGAACATAGTGATGTGACTGACAGTGCATTACACAGGTCTCTTTGTTCACCTAAAATGAAATTATTGGGGATAACTCTCTTACCCAAATGAATAGGTTTATTTGTTCTGTTCTTTCCATTATTCTTAATTTAATATTATCTACTTAATTATTTGTTTCTTTTTCATTTGGATTGCAGGAAAGAAAATCCTAAGTTTAGCAAGTTTAAAGAAACAACATTTTAAAAAATATAGATATGTGTATCGTGTAAAAAAAAAGTACATTAAATTGAATATAAAAGGACTACCCTACAGTATCTGGCTGTGAAAATCAGAGGACCACTAAATGACAGCAAAGAGATATTGACAATTCTTTTTTTCCAATTAAGTTATATTGATAACTTGTATGTTATTAATATTGATATAAATTATTAATATAACATTAATATACAATAATAAATGTGGTATAATATAAATTGAGTAGCTAATATGCTAATTTGTCTGTTCAAAGGGTATGAGAAAATGTTGTGCAGGAATAAAACTGCGGACAGTTTTATCCTAAATCCTCCTGTTCTTATTTATACATTAAAATATAAATATTTATACATTAAATATAAATTTTGCAGCTTGAAAATCCTCCCCAAAAGGGCTTTATGTCTAGGTAAGTAGGTAAAAGTTTGCAAATACTAGTAATTGATTTCTCCTATTTCCTTTTAAGATACCCAATAATTGTTCTTATTGTTCTTTCCTAACTTTTGTATACAGCTCCATTCCTCCCATGGATTTATTCTGCCACAATTCTTCAATTGAATTTTAAAAATAGTCTCTATCCTACAGATTTATTTTAATCAAGTACTTTTAATTGGTCTCAGAACTGACAGTAGTGGCTATCTGTTCTATAAGAAATAATCTGGTCTTTGTCAGACTAATTCATTTTTCTATTTAAATAAGTATAATCTATTGATTCATTGATTTATATAATAGTTTACTGAGTAAAAAAGAGTTGAAGTTAATGAGTATCCATGATTAATGTGAAAATTATAATTATTTGGGATTATGAAAAGCATAAAAGTAGTCACCAAACTAGCAATATTTTACGTTATTAACTATTTTAATGTATATTTATTAAGTTATTATTTTTATTTTAACTTAGAATTTATTAACAAGGTAAACTTTTAACTTATTACAGTGTTTGTTATAAATTAAGAATTTATTATTTTTAAAGAGTATTTATTGAGGCAGCAAGTACACGTTCTATTGCAACTACATGCTACAAACTACAAAGTAACTAGATGAGGGAGCTCACATTTAACAGTAAATTTGTAATTTAGTGGATCAAGTGCTAACTGTATGAAAAAGACGTGATATCTAACATCTGATAGCTTCAATCATTATAAATCTCCATTACCAAACCCATTGCTTCTGTGTAGAAACTCATCCTAACTATACTTGTGTATATGTGATCATGACATGCAAATTGTGATTTCTTTCACAGAAATAATTTGATTTTAAAGAACAAATAGGGTTTTAGGCCCATCTCTTTTCCAGCTTCAAAACTGATCCAATAGCTGATCTGTGCATGACCACCTGGAACGAGACAAGTAGAAATTAACATTGGGCTAACTGGCTAGCAAAATTTGTGGCAGTAGCTGAGAAAGCCAAACCATTTTTAAAACTCTGTAACACCATAAAGCTGAGGACTTAAATATGGAGCCAGACAGAGGTTTAAAGAAGTAATAGAAAAACTTTAAATGCATATTGTACCTTACAATTCAGATGTATTTATTATTATTTGGGGGGAAGGTTCTTTGCAACAGCTAAAGCTAAGACAGATGTGCACCAATTCAAGCAAGCAGCACAAAACCTTTTTCAAGGTCATGCTTTATCCTACTTCTCATACAACTGCATCCATAATTTTAAAACTAAGATAGCATCAGAATCTTAGTGCTCTTCAAGTTTTCCTACAACTGAGGGAATAGAATCCTGGCTAAAGATCAATTTTCTTAGGCCCTGAGTTCAGCTACAGGATAAATACTGCATTCCACAATATTATATCAACCCCTGCAGATAACAGGCATAAATGACTCCCTTTATATTAAGCGAGACATCCAGTTTGGTTATAACGGATTTATGACCTAACTTTTACTAAAGTTGTCAATCAAATCATCTATAATCCTTAAGCAAGACCGCACACAATTACAACTTCCAATTTCACTGATGACTTCCTCACCGACTCTACTTGGCAGAATCCATCCAAATGGCTATGCTGCTGCCACATCAATGCTACAATAATCCTCCTGGAGGTGAAGCAGCTGGATCTGACCAGATGACATTGCAATACTGGTTTAACCGCAGGATCAGTTACAAAGTTATTTTTTCAACACTAGCAAATTTGAATGATGGCTAAACATGGCAGTCATTAAGCACACACACACACACACACCTTTTTATTTAAATTTTGATTTTTGTTGTGAATATATGCTATTAATTTTCCTATTACTGCAAATTTCCCCAAGTTTAAGTTCTCAGTCAGATAACTTTAATAACTTATTTTTTTTCTGTAATTTGTACACAACAGAGCCAATCTGGTGTAGTGGTGAAGGCTCATGCTAGAAACCAGAAGACTGTAAGTTCTAGTCCTGTCATAGACATGAAAGCCAGCTGAGTAACGGTGGGCCAGTCACTCTCAGCCCAATTCACCTCACAGGATTCTTGTTGTAGGAAAAATAAGAAGAGGAAGGACTATTAGGTATGTTCACTACATAAACAAACAAACAAACAAAGGTTTTAAAAACCTAAACCTACATTTATCTTATTGCCATAAAACGTATCATATAAATTGTGATTTTTCTTTGTTGATTTATTTTTGCAATTTTGCCTGGTAAAAAGAAGTGATTTTATTTCAAATTTGATTTCTAACTGTTTCTGAGTAATTCTGAATATTTCTTTCTACTACTTTTGAGTATTTTTACATTTACCACATGTGGTAAAATTTTCTTTCTATCCCATGTAATATTCTATGGAGTATTAAATTAGACTAATAAATTAGTCTGTCTTGGCAATTATTGACAAGTTTTATACCATCTGTCAATTATTTAAGAAACTTAACAGTTTTCTTTTAAGTTATAACTGGAGTACATTTTACAGATTTATTCCATAACACCTCCCATTGTTGTATTGTGACTTTTTTTAAAGCTTTGCATCCATTTTAGGATGCAAACTTTTATCTGTTCTGCCTCTAATATCTATTTCTTTCAACTGGCTTGCATAGCTGATTCTGAAGCTGTCCCGGGCTGATTCCACATGTATACATGCACATGCACCTATCTGTCTCATGGTTTCTCTCAAGATTTTTTTTCGGTTTCAGTTCCCATAATCCCATGCAAACATAGCATCAAATTGGGGAAGGAATGTATGAAACAAAATGACAGTAAGGAGGAATGTTATAAAACATATAGCAACAAACTTTAATAGATGAAGGATAAGGTGCAAAAACCAAAAGGAAATGGCTTTGGATTTTGGTACCATTTTTAACTGAATGAATTACAGGCAAATGTTGTCTGGATGACTTCCAGAATTTAATGACTGTGTATGAACCTTATGGATTACTGCCTTGTCGTGGTGAAGGGGCTTGCGTAACTCAATGAAGCTATAAGCTATGCCGTGCAGGGCCACCCAAGACGGACAGGTTATAGCAGAGAGTTCTGACAAAATGTGATCCACTGGAGAAGGAAATGGCAAACCACTCCAGTATCTTTGCCATGAAAACCCCATGGACAGTATTAAAAGGAAAAAAGATATGACGCTGGAAGATGAGCCCCTCAGGTCGGAAGGTGTCCAATATGCTATTGGGGAAGAGCAGAGGGCTAGTACTAGTAGCGCCAGAAAGAATGAAGCGACTGGGCCAAAGCCGAAAGGACGCTCAGCTGTGGATATATCTGGTGGTGAAAGGAAAGTCCGATGCTGTAAAGATTTTTTCTCCATAGGAACCTGGAATGTAAGATCCATGAATCAAGGCAAGCTAGACGTAGTCAAAAAAGAGATGACAAGACTGAACATCGACATCTTAGGAATCAGCGAACTAAAATGGACAGGAATGGGTGAATTTAACTCAGATGACCATCAGGTATACTACTGTGGGCAAGAATCCCTCAGAAGAAATGGAGTAGCCTTCATAGTCAATAAAAGAATAGGAAAAGCAATACTGGGATACAATCCCCAAAATGACAGAATGATCTCAATTCGAATCCAAGGCAAACCATTCAATATCACAGTAGTCCAAATCTATGCCCCAACCACTGGTGCTGAAGAGGATGAAATTGACCGGTTCTATGAAGCCCTACAGCACCTTATAGAATTAACACCAAAAAATGATGTCCTTATCATCATGGGGGATTGGAATGCTAAGGTAGGAAGCCAAAAGATAACCGGAATAACAGGCAAGTTTGGCCTTGGAGTACAAAATGAAGCAGGGCACAGGCTAATAGAATTTTGTCAAGAGAATACGATGGTCATAACAAACACTCTTTTCCAACAACCCAAGAGACGGCTCTACACATGGACATCACCAGACGGTCAACATAGAAATCAGATTGACTATGTGCTCTGCAGCCAAAGATGGAGAAGCTCTATACAGTCAGTAAAAACAAGACCAGGAGCTGACTGTGGCTCAGATCATGAGCTTCTCGTTGCAAAATTTAGGCTTAAATTGAAAAAAGTAGGGAAAAGCACTAGGCCACTCAGGTATGAACTAAATCATATTCCTGATGAATATACAGTAGAGGTGACAAATAGATTTAAGGAACTGATCTGATAGACAGAGTGCCTGAAGAACTATGGATGGAAGTTCGCAACATTGTACAAGAGGTAGCAACTAAAACCATCCCAAAGAAAAAGAAATGCAAGAAAGCAAAATGGCTGTCTGAGGAAGCTTTGCAAATAGCTGAGGAAAGAAGGGAAGCGAAAGGCAAAGGAGAAAGAGAAAGATACACCCAATTGAATGCAGAATTCCAGAGAGTAGCTAGAAGAGATAAGAATGCCTTCTTAAATGAACAGTGCAAAGAAATAGAAGAAAACAACAGAATAGGGAGGACCAGAGATCTCTTCAAGAAAATTGGAGATATGAAGGGAACGTTTCATGCAAAGATGGGCATGATAAAGGACCAAAATGGCAGAGACCTAACAGAGGCAGAAGAGATTAAGAAGAGATGGCAAAACTACACAGAAGAACTATACAAGAATGAGCTTAACATCCCAGATAACCACAATGAGATGGTCATTGACCTCGAACCAGACATCCTAGAATGTGAAGTGAAATGGGCCTTAGAAAATCTGAGCAACAACAAAGCTAGTGGAGGTGACAGTATTCCAGCTGAGCTATTCAAAATCTTAAAAGACGATGCAGTAAAAGTGCTACACTCAATTTGCCAGCAAATTTGGAAAACTCAACAGTGGCCACAGGATTGGAAAAGGTCAGTTTACATTCCAATTCCAAAGAAAGGCAATGCCAAAGAATGTTCAAACTATCGCACCATTGCACTCATTTCACATGCTAGTAAAGTTATGCTTAAAATCCTACAAGCTAGACTCCAGCAGTATGTGGATCGAGAACTACCAGAAGTACAGGCAGGATTTCGAAGAGGCAGAGGAACTAGAGATCAAATTGCCAACATACGCTGGATCATGGAGAAAGCTAGGGAGTTCCAGAAAAACATCTACTTCTGCTTCATTGACTATGCAAAAGCCTTTGATTGTGTGGATCACAACAAATTGTGGCAAGTTCTTAAAGAGATGGGAGTACCAGACCATCTCATTTGTCTCTTGAGAAACCTATATGCGGGTCAAGAAGCAACAGTGAGAACCGGACACGGAACCACTGATTGGTTCAAAATTGGAAAAGGAGTCCGGCAAGGCTGTATACTGTCGCCCTGCCTATTTAACTTATATGCAGAGCACATCATGAGAAAGGCAGGGCTAGATGAATCAAAAGTTGGAATTAAGATTGCCGGGAGAAATATCAACAACCTAAGATATGCAGATGATACCACTCTAATGGCAGAAAGTGAAGAGGAACTAAAGAGCCTCTTGATGCAGGGAAGAAGGAGAGTGCAAAAGTTGGCTTGAAACTCAACATTAAGAAAACCAAAATCATGGCATCCGGCCCTCTCAATTCCTGGCAAATAGATGGGGAAGAAATGGAGGTAGTGACAGATTTTATTTTTCTGGGCTCAAAGATCACCTCAGATGGGGACTGCAGCCAAGAAATTAAAAGACGCTTGCTCCTGGGGAGGAAAGCTATGGCAAATCTAGACAGCATACTAAAAAGCAGAGACATCACCCTGCCAACAAAAGTGCGTATAGTCCAGGCCATGGTTTTCCCAGTTGCAATGTATGGCTGTGAAAGTTGGACCATAAGAAAGGCTGAGCGCAAAAGAATTGAGGCCTTTGAACTATGGTGCTGGAGAAGACTCCTGCGAGTCCCTTGGACTGCAAGGCGTTCAAACCGGTCAGTCCTAGAAGAGATCAACCCCGACTGCTCTTTAGAAGGCCAGATCCTGAAGTTGAAACTCAAGTACTTTGGCCACCTAATGAGAAGGAAGGATTCACTGGAGAAGAGCCTAATGCTGGGAAAGATTGAGGGCAATAGAAGAAGGGGACGACAGAGAATGAGATGGCTGGCTGGAGTCACTGAAGCAGTAGGTGTGAATTTGAATGGACTCCAAAAGATGGTAGAGGACAGGAAGACCTGGAGGAACGTTGTCCATGGGGTCGCAATGGGTCGGACACGACTTCGCAATTAACAACAACAACAACAACAATGAACCTTATGAAGGAGTCAAATCACTGAAATGTGCCAGAGAGGCACAGTATTAATTTATGAAGCATTGCAACACCTAACATGGCTGCAGAAGCAAACCAATGCTTACTAAAAAGTGATACACAACTTTGAAAATACCCTTGATGATGGCTTTTGGAAACAACATCTACCCATATGCTGTTTTTTGTCACTTATGCACAACTAATCTGGCATAACATTTTTTACATTCATGATCAATGTTGGTAATCCATTTTTAAGCACCTAAGCTTAAAGCACCTGGCCCTCTTCTGAAACTAAAGAATGCTTTCAGGAACCAACCTTGATATCAATTGAACAAAGTCATGCTATATTTTTAGCCTTTGTTTAGTTGTAAACAAAATGTTAGGTTTTCTTATTTTGCATTATCATTGTCTGCATTATGGTTATAACCATGTAGTACCAGATTGTGTTCTGGTAAGCACATTTAGTAGAAGGAAATTTCTACTAAAAGCCACAACCTGACATAGTGGTTTTGGAACAATCACTAATTTGTTATATGGACATCTAAAAGTGGTCCTTAAACAAGCTCTCTATGGGTACTATAAATCTAATCCCTTATTCTTCCAGTATCTAAGCAGTGCAATGACTGACAATATACATTAATTTTTGACTAAACATCAAATATGCCAGTTAAATCACTCAGCAAATTATTTTTTGACATTATTTAGCATTAAGTTGACTTTCAAAAAGAAGGAGGATTTTTATCTATACTTTCTAATTGAAATCCAACCCATCTGTAAGGTGCCAGGCAAGGGAAGGCTGATAAATGCCAAATGAGTGATGGATCCTCTTCAGCATTGTTTAACATTTTTATCAGCTGGTCTTACCTTTCAGTGTTTCCTGTACAGTATGTGCAAGGACTGCTAATTTATGATTATTTTGATTCTTCACAGAATTTTCTCCAGTAGACGGCAATGGCACTAAATGCAAGTTAACCAGTATTAAATCATTCATTCCAATCTAGAAACAAACATAGGCAGCATTAAGAGATTTCCAAGAGTCTGTTCACAAATACATCACAAATGAAAGATCTCTCCTGCTTGTTCACCACTGTGCTCATCAATACAATCATTTCTGATTTGTAAGGAAACACATTCTTATTAACAATCACAGACCTCTGCTTTAGTTTTGTATGTTTTGGAAAATATACTACCGTCAATTTTTATTACAATCTATCTAGGGCAAGACTATAAACCCAGAAGACAATGCTACCACCTTTAATTGCTCAATGAAACTTTAAAAATCATGCCAGTGCCATTTAATTTCCAACCCTTTCTTGAATTCTCTCAGTTGGGAAAGTCAAGTCTTACCTTGAAATGTGCAATATAAGGGTGAAGATAGACCTGTTTCCCATTGCCATTTGTGTGTGGGCCTTCAGAGAATGTAGCTTCTTTCAGTTCTATCCCTGCGGTTGTGTCCCATAGGAAGCCAGAATATTCTTCATGCTGAAAGCCAAAAAAGAAAATAGCTAAGCAAAATAATTCATCATCAAAAATGGCCAAATTAAGGTTCTATTAATTCCAATCAGCCAGTCTAAGCATTAAATTTGAATCCAATCAAAGTTGATGTTTTATATAGACTGTCTGGGTTGTTAGAATCTTATTTTGTTTATATGCTACTTAAAATCTGTTGATTGGCATGGAATATATATACTATAAAGCAAATAATAATATAAATACAAGCACGCACTTGATGAGGGTTACTGAACAAAGAGCTGAAGATGTGAATTTTGTTTGGATTGAGTTTGTATTTGTTAATTATAAAAATGATTACTTTTTAATTACAAAATGGAATTTTTGTGATTCTTATTTTTATAGGTTTTTTGTGAATTCGGTATAGATTACCACGAGGCAAGATTTATAATGAAATACTTGCATATAGACAAGTATATAGACATAACTAAAATGGAATTTTAAAAATCTCTATAGCCTGATCATAGAACCTTCTGAAATCAATTATGGTGCAGTGGAAAGAAAGTTATGAAAAGTCACTTCAAAGGGTCAGAAGAAATGCTATCCTTAGTTCAAATAAAATTTCAGAAGCTCAAATAAAAAAAATTCTTTTCCAATAGTTCAAAACTCTGTAATAATCATTTCCTTGGCTAGATAAAAGCAAAATAAAAACTCCACAATTTTTGACTTGTACCAGACTACCTTCTCGGGGTGCCCTGAGAGCTTCTGTGAAATGCTTCCCTTCCAACATCCTCGAGGGCCCTTCCATTTGCGGATGTTTGGCAGAGTTGGCTGATTTAACTCCATGCAAAACTGTAAAAAGTTGGGTGGGAAGAGAGGAAGTTCATTAAACTGGAGCATTTCTAGGTCCATCTTAAATCCCGTAGGGAAAAGTAAAGGAACAATCATTTTTTCTTTCAGTGAAATATTTTTAAAGAATTGCATTCTGTCAATGTTATTGCTCAAATGTTATTATTTGCATAACCAAAGAAAGCAAATTATGAAATAGTTAAATTTATAGCCGATTTAGGGCCAGATACACTTTGATGACTAAGCAGGCTCATCATTTTCAAATCCATACACATAAATAGTTAATCAGCATCCATGGGCCAAAGGGAGCAATTAATTAATTAATTAAGCTGGCCGAAAGGCTTTGGGTAATTTCCCTTCTATTCAGGAGAACCGTAACAAATACAGAGATTTGAGAGATTGCTGCTGGAGTTTGCTGCTATCTATAATTATAAAGTCCCTGCAGTCCCGGTTGCCATCATTAAGCAAGGACTTTGCAGTGTTAAGCAAGGATCTTACATGACTTTGGCTTGCTGCAATGTTGTAATTGTAAGCCAGGGATCAATACTTTATGTAACTTTTGAATGGTCACTGAACTAATGGTTGTAACCCAAGAACGACCTGTAGATTTCAAGAAATCCATGTAGCCTGTTTTACAGGGCTAGTTTGCCATGCTTCTTTACACCTTTACATCTTCTTCTGCCACAGGCAGTGCTATTTTGCCTACAATGTTATTAAAAACTTAAACAGAAAAATATGAACTAAAAACTCCAGCAAATTGTTAAGCATACTCCCAAACAACAGTCACAAGTTTGTAATTTATATTCCAGAAACAGTTGATAGGCACTTGTTGTCATAATTTAAATTTAAGCACTAAATTAAAAATGGGCAACTGAAAGGCTGTGTAAGGATAGTTTTATCAGGTCAGCTTGGTTTAATTAATTCAATTTGACTCAACTAAACTAGCAAACTGCACAAACTGAAGACAATGTGTACTAATACAGTACATTTTGGCTGGATTGTTTAACAATTAATCTTAGCTAGACAAAATAAGCAAGCCAAATGAATTACACAAGACTGAACCTGATGTAAGCGGCTCCAATGTTTGCAAACCCTGAAGTTTCATTATGTCCTATGGGTTTTAGGACTTCTTATGAAACAAGGAAAGAAACAGAACAAATACTTTGATTTCTTCTCTCAAATACAAATTAGGAATGATTCTGGAGTTGTTCCAAAATATCCAAATTGGGATTTCATTTGAATGTTAAACAACAGAATTGTTAATTTATGATTCAGTAAGGCAATGTAAATTTAGCATCAATTGTCTCTTCCTTGTAAAATGGAAGGGTTCATTAACACGAGTTACAACATTCCTGATATGAGGATTAAATAATGACTTCAGTATTCAAGAGAATGGCAAATTTGCTGTTCTATACATATTTATCCTTAGATAATCTTCTGGCTTTAGAAGTTAGAATTAAGATCTTAAATCATAATAAAAAACAATTAAGGATTATAAAAATCCTACGTTCCTTCAAGAAGATGGTCATGACAGGTTTAGTAGATTAATATTTAATGTTATATTTTGCAGTAATAGATGTTCCTGAACACTCTGGGTACTATTTAGAGCAACTGCAGAAATCTCTACATAACTACAACATTTACACTTGTTGCCAGAAATACTTAGTTTGGGAACAGTCTAGCAAGACATCAAATATAGCTGTGCAATCATACTCTGCCATTGCCACTATTTCAAAAGTACAGCACATTCCGGTTTAGTCAGTTTTGGTTAGGATTTGTGAACCCTAGCCAAAACTGATTAAACTCCAACCAACATCTGACCAAGCAATCAAAAGCATGTAATTTAAGAAAAAAATCAGAAGGGAACAATACTGTAAAATATCTGCCTTTATGATTGATGATGAGAACAACTCTGAGGCTGATGACAGTAGTTATTTAAAGTAGAAGGGGTATCTATTTTTTGGTGTCTGAATATCATACAGATTTAATTCTGATAAAGCAAATTATTACTCTTTTAAAATAAATACACTGAAACCTGAGGTGGAGTTAAATTTCCAAGACTGTCACGAAAATTAAATTTCTTCCTTTATGGAAAAATGCTTAACTGAAAAGTCCAAAGAGACCTAGCTACTATGACAATAAAACCAGGGATTATGAATCAGTTCCCTCAGAGATTATGTATCGGTTCCCTTTTCTTTTTTCCTCTTTATTTGTGCATGCATAGGTTATGCCCATATTATGGATGTTAATAATAGCTGTCATGCATACTGCATAGAACATATCTGATTTAAAAAAATTATTCACAGAATTACTGCCACCTTAGTAGTTCAAGCCAAACCAAAGCAGGAATTCTATTTGTAATTCAGGAGCACTCTCTTCTGCTTAACAGTCATCTCATGAACAGGCTGCTGGGGAGTGAGACTAATGTTGAATTAACAAAAATAAAAATAAGTTTTATCATGAGGTAATGCTGAACTGACTGATGTGTATTGTGAAGCTGACTGGACTGAGAAGGAATCACTGCCAATGCATTTGCTCTCAAGACTTTAAACATTCAACTCAGTCTATACATTCACTGCCAGATATGGAAGAAAAACTATACTGGAAAAGCAAAGCAACAAAAGAAAGCATTACACTTTGTAAACTCTTTTACTCTCCCATAAGAAGGCCTGGCAAGATTTGCTTGCAGAACCCACTGGTTTGATTTAATGTGCTGGTTTTTCACAAGGGAACAAAAATCAAAGAGCTATGAGAAAATCTATTTTTGTACAGTGCCAGCTAAAGGGTGAAAATTAGAGGGGATCCAAAGAGTTAAAAAAAAACAAAAACAAATTTCCATGTATTCTTAATCTCCATCTGAAGTGTTCCTTCTGCACCATTGCCTGGGTCATATTTCAAATTGCTTTGAAGTTCATCTCAGGATTCTTTGGATGTGGGTTTATTATATGCAAGTAGTTCTCTCAATTTGTGACCACAATTGGGATCAGAACCTCCATCACTAAAGTAATGTGGTTATGAAGTGATCTTGGCTTGATTTTAAAACCTTTTCTGCGCTGGTCATTAAGCAATGCTAGCCTTCCTCATTGATTCTGCTTAGCAGAAGCTCCCTAGGAAAATCTTAAATGGTGATCATGTGGCTGCAACCATCATAAATACATGCTGTTTCCCATTACATCAGTGGTTCTCAACCTGTGGGTCGGGACCCCATTTGGGGTCGAACGACCATTTCACGGAGGTCGCCAAACAACACAGTCTGCCATTTTTTTCCCCTTTTCCTTAGCTGTGCTACTCCCTTTTATTCTACTGGCTTTTGAAAGCCAATAGAATAGGCTCTCTTGAATAGAGTCTAATTTTATTGGCTTTCAAAAGCCAATAGGAATTGTCCAGGCTGTCTCTGCCCTGCTGAGCCCGCCAAAAGTCCCATTCTGCAAACGGTGCTGCACCAGTTGAGTAGTCCTCAACTTACGACCAGTTGAGTAGTCCTCGACTTACGACCGGTTGGGGTCGCGGCATTAAAAAGGTTGAGAACCACTGCATTACATGATCTCAGTATGCTGTGAAGGACTAGTGGTAAGTCACTTTTTTCAACAGTATCATAACTTTGAACGATAATCACTAAAGAAATCATCATAAATTGAGGGCTACCTATGTATGATGGACATTATTTAATTCAACAGATGCTCTTCAGGAATCTCCAAAAGTTATTAGCAAATTATTATTTTTAATGTGCTATTAAAAAGAAATTATAAAATGAAGAATGGAAAGAAATTACATTATGTTTAATGTTATTAAAATGAATATGCAATTAAAATGAAATCCAATTTTGTTTTTATTATGGTTCAACTCAATTTTCTGGCACTGAATGGCAAAGTATAGTCGTTGCTTCAAATCTCCATCTAATTAGATTGTGAATGCAACAAAGAGAATAATCTTTGGGTACATGAATACACACATTCACATTTTGTAATCTGAAGTATAAGTATATGCTTATAAGACATGAGTAGCAGTAAACAGAAATACTACTAACAGAAGAAAGAGGATTTGCAGATTTGTGCTGCTCTACAGAAAGAGTAAAGGTACCTTCTCAAGTGCATCTCTATCAATCAACTCCTGCACAGCCAAAAGTTTGATGCTAGAAAGGAGAAAAAAAGAAAAAAAATCAAGTCAAACCAACATGGTTATGAAAGCATAAAATTAGAAGAATTCTACATCGAACTCGCTAAGTAGCCATTCAATTGTTGATAATGATCAGCCATATGCTTTTGGGAGGTTTAGAAGCAGGAAATGATAGTTATAAATTATAACCCATTATTTGTTGGGTACATCATTAAACTGAAATATAAGCTATTGTTTATTTCCACATATTTTAATAATTCACAAATAATAACTCACAAAAACATTATTATGGATATTCTAAATCCAAAGAAACCAAGAGAAAGTAAAATTTCATCTATTTGTTCTGAAAAATTAATGTAGCTTAGTGTGGTGTCCAATAAAAAAATGTTAATTTTATCAGAATTTAATCATAACATATACTAAGTACTGAAAAATGTAGCAGAAAGAGATGAAAGGAAAAGAAATAATATCTATCTGATGTTGATTTTGATAGCTAATTGCTTTATCTTTAGCAAGATTCTTGTGCTGATCAACAGAAATATGAGAACCATAAAGTAGTATGATCACTAAGCAAATATTTATAGGACTGCAAAATGAAAAATAGATTATTTTCGCTAAATAGAGAATGGCAACCTAGCACTAATATCTGGTGCAGACAGAAGAATTGACTGGATATCCTCAATGCTTTTTACAGAACTTACGGTGCACTGCTCTAAAAATAGGCAGTAGTTATTGCTGGCTGTTCAATATATTAGACCTCTTCAAGGACTTTAAAGCTTGTCTTTCAAAAAATGTTTTGTGCAGTGATATAGATATGCACAGGCCATGATTATCCATTAATAAGGCAAAGCATCTTTCTAGGTCACAGAAAGCAAAAAAATTATGTCACCGTACTATCAAAAAACTGATCAAGCAGAGAGAACAGGAAATCTTTATTCCAATGAATCAAAGCAAACCCAAGTAACTACATAGCCTCTGAGAGTAAATTGCTGGTGCAGATTACTGCCACTTCACTCAATATGAACTAAGTTTGAAAATAAGTCACAAAAAGATGAGTACAATTACTCATGCTACATTTTATCAATGAGACAATATGTAGATAAGATACTGAATATTTCCAGCACATTTTCCTTGTTTGTTCCATTCTGAAGAACTTTGTATTCAATAAAAACCTCCTACATCATCCATTTAGTCAGATTATTTAACAAAGATCTTTCCTTCCAACTCCTCCCCAAAATTTCTCAGTTAAAAGCAGATATATAGGCCTTGGTTTGGAAATGGGAACACTTCTAGGGGAAAAAAATCAATCAAATCCAGGAAAGTAAAGTATATCCCAGTAATTTGCACATTTCATAGTATACAAACTCGAACCTCCTGCTAAACCATATATGTTATACCATGGTTCCCCGAAAATAAGACCTGGTTTTATTTTCTTTTGGCTCTGAAATAAGCACTAGAGCTTATTTTCGGGAGATGTCTTTCTTACCAGCAGACATGGCATGGCATAGCCTGCGCATAGGCTGTAGATGCAACACAGCAGCGAGGGGCCAACCTCAGAGCATGCTGGCAGACCAACTATAGTAAAGATACTGTATGACAGAGTTCGGGTGGGTAAGGGGTGCATGTGCCCTTCCCATGCCAGGCTAGCCCCTGCAGCCCCAGGGCAGCTGTGCTGGACGGTGGTGGGAAGGGCACTGGGGCGGGAGCAGCCAGGCCAATGCTCCTCCAAGCAAGCAGGGGGCCTTTGCCCCGGGAATGTTGGGGGGCTACCTTCATGGCCTGGCCCGTTTGAGAGGTGAGCCGGGAGGCGGCAGCCGAGGGCCAAAGAAATGGCAGAGACCCGGAGGGTCAGAGAGGAAGAGTGCTGAATTGAGTGGGCATCCTGCCTGCAGCATCCATGCCAGCTGCCCCTTCCCTGCCAGAATGCCGCCACATTTCAGTACCCGTATGGTACATGCTGGCCTTCCCTCCGGCAGGCTTGGGCAGCTGCTGGAAAGAGATGGGCCAGTTTCAGAGCCTGGCATCCCTAGGGGGTTTGCCTTGGCACCTACTTTCTAGTTCCATCGCATTTCTCTGCCACCGCAGAGCTGGAGAGCTTGCCCCACCACCGCCCTAATGCTCTCGTTTCCTCCAAGCATTACTTTGCTTACCTAATTTCCAGCCCCATTACATTTCTTCATGTTTTTCTGTCATGTTCCTCCACTGCCATGTGCAGGCAAACAAAAGAAGTTTGTGGGAGTAAAAAAAAAAAAAGGTCAATCAATCAATTCTAACTTTGCGAGATCTTTTTTTTCACAAGAAGTTGGAATTGATTGATTGAACTTTTTTTTTTAGTCCTACAAACTTCTTTTGTTTCCCTGCACACAGTGGCAGACGAACACAACGGAGAAATGTCAAGGGGCTGAAAACCAGGTAAGCTGAGAAATGCTTGGGGGAAACAAGGGCATCTGGGTAGTGGTGGGGCAAGCTCTCCAGCTCCACAGCGGCAGAGAAATGCGACAGAACTGCAAAGCAGGTGCCAAGGCAAACCCCCTAAGGGTGCCAGATACTGAAACTGGCCTGGCTCTCTCCTACAGCTGCCCAGGCCTATCAAAGGGAAGGCCGGCATCTACCGGCACTTACGGTAAATGTGGTGGCATACCAGCTCTGGCAGGAAAGGGGCATGGGGGCTGCAGGCTGGACACTCTCTCACTTCAGCACCCTCCCTCCTTAACCCTCTGGTGTTCCACCTGCTGCTTCAGTGGCTGTGTGGGCAGAACTGCAAAGAGGGCCAGATGGCTGAAAGCGCCAGCAATCTGGCTCAGAAGGGGAGTGAAAGGGAAAAGTCTGGGCAGGTGAGGGGGGAATCTGCCCCACACCGCCCCACTTGTTCTGCAGCCACTTTTCCAGAGCCACATCGCAGCCCCCAAAAAACCCCCAAACAGGTTTGTTTCCATAATTTTTCTAAAGCCATTTGAAAAAAAAGGGAGGGGAAACTTTTTTTTACACATTTTTTCAATTTTTTTCCAGGCCTTCCCATCTCTAAGTCCCTAACCCACAATGCCTAACCTCCAAACTTAACCCTCACTCTCCCCAGGGCAACCACAATGCCTAACCCCCACCCTAACCCCCACTTCCCCTCAGGGCAACCCTAACCACAACAATCAACATTTATTCAAAAACAGCCATGTCATCTTCTTCTGTAACATCTTCATATGGCAACTCTCCCAAACCCCAAATTCCAGCCTTAATCTCTTGTGATCCAGTTCCTGTAGAACCATTAGCCCCTATCTCTCATTGTCCAACAATTTTGTCTCCTTAAATGAGCACTTCTTGTCCACATAGGCTGCTCATAGTACACTGCTCATAGTGCACTGGCAACACAGCTGTCAGTGATTTTATCCCATGAATTCTTCACCCAAGTCACGATCTCTGGCAGGCTAGGCTTCACAAGTTTACATGCTGATTTCTCTCCATTCTGTGTTCAGTGTAGTCACTGATTTCCCTGTGCAAATGATCCTTGAATGGTTTGTTTACCACAATACCAAAAGTCTGGAGATAGGCAGTCATTCCTGCAGGAATCATTATTTGATCTATTCCTCTCTCTCCAAGGAACTTCTTCATGTCTTTTGCGTGCTGAGTGCTGGCTGAATCACAGATTAGCAGACTTCTTTGGTCACCTCTCAAAACAAGTGGCAGCATTAAATCAATCTACTTCCTTATAATGGCTTGTATGCAACAGGCTTTTTCAGTTTCAAGAACATAAATGCCTGAAACACGTTCAATTTTATCTTTCCTGCCCTTAGTGATGATTAGAGGTGGGACTTTCGTTCCATTCAGACGAATTGCCAAAATACACATCACACGTGCACTTTTGTAACCAGTGGAGGGAATGTATATTGACGAGGCACCCTCTGATCAATTGTTGTTTGACATACTTGGCCCATAAACACTGTAGCTTCATCCATAGCAATCAAGTTTGACAGTTGGTATTTTGAAAAGTCGATGCCATCAACAAAGGAGTTAAATACAAATACATGTTTACTAAGTTCAGCATCCTGCAACTTGAACAGTGTTGTCAATCTTCTTAGAGACAGTTCATATTGCTGAAGGAAGCCATCCAGCCAGTGTTGTGATGCTTTGAATTCTTTGGGGGATATTTCTAACTGTGGTGCCAGTGCAATGGTAAATGCTTGAATATCAGCCCTGAGCACAACCAAAGCCTTTGCTCTCCTGTCAGCAATCCAGTCACAGATGTTGTGTTCCAGTTCAGAAAATAATGGCTGCCTACCTGATCCACACTTCCATCTGTTGGCTGAGGTTATTATACTTTGCTCTCCATTTTTGGACCATACAGAGATCCAACTTGTTCTCTTTGCAGAAAGCTGTAAGATTCTTGCCCTGAGAGTCCTCTACAATTCCTTTCTTGTACTCGACGGAATAGCTCTTTCTTTTTGAGCTCATCTTGTCAGGGGTCAAAATATTCCCTTTGAATCTGCCATTAAATCACCATTAAACCGGGGGAGGGTCAAACTTGATTTCATTGAGGGTTAGGGTTGGGGTTAGGCATTGTGGTTGCCCTGGGGGAGAGTGGGGGTTAGGGTTGGGGGTTAGGCATTGTGGGTTAGGGTTAGAAATTGGAAGTCCTGGTGAAAAAAAGAAGAAAAATGTGAAAAAAAAAACAATTTTTTCCCCATTTTCTTTTTCCAAACATTTCCCCCCCCCCTAATTTTTCAGTTTTTTCCCAGGCCTTTCTAGCAGGATCCCATCAATCATAATTAAACAAACTCATGGTTTAGCTCAGTGGTTCTCAACCTTTCTAATGCCATGACCCCATAATACAGCTCCCCACGTTGTGGTGACCCCAGGGGCGTGGCCAACTGGGTGTGGCCACCGAGTGGGTGTGGCCACCGAGTGGGTGTGGCCTCCAAGTGGGTATGGCCACCGAGTGGGTGTGGCCAAGTGGGCGTGGCCACCAAGTGGCCGCCGCGGGTCCCATCGCCGCAGCAGATGCACAACTGCCCTTCCTCTTCCTCG